CCAGGGAAAGTGTTTGTGATTATTTTGGCTGGATTGGTGCGGAAGGGACTCGGAACGGTCTCGGCACCAGCATTACTCAATTACACGTTTGGTTGAAGCATAATAAAACTTAAGAGGACTTAAAAAGCAAAGCCGTTGGCGGCAGTAAAACCTCGGCGAATTCAGGCGCCGAATGGGTGGTCACCATTTCCGCGACCAAACGACAACAGTCGATCCGAAAACAGGCGAAATGGTTTACTATGGCCGGGTACCCGATCTAAGATATCACGATTCATACATAAATCCGTGAAAATTCGAAAATCAAGCCGTACCAACAATCGAGATGGCCAAAATTCATGAATTAACAGCAGGATTGTCAATTTAAGTTTTCTAAAGACCGGCAAACCTGAACAGAGGAGGACAGGCAGCTGGCTTTGTGGTTGGGTGAGATATCTTCGAAGCTATTTCATCCGTCAAACCTGCAGAACAACGCGTTGGGGGCTGCTGATGCGTCCGACGTCCCGCCCGTCCCAACCTTTAAACATCCGGCAAAGGAACACACATAAGCGTGTTATGAGCGCCCGGATGGTGTCAGAATTGCATGTAGTGACCAAAAAGGCAACCAAAAATAAAGTATACAACTAGTGGAACATCCTTCCAGACGAGTTTCTTTATCTAATCCACCAATGCACCAAAAGGGGCAAAATAATTGAGCGCACTTTTGTGCCCGACGCAAAGAAACTCTTCTTCATGATTGATAAAGTCCTTCCTCTCACGGCCAAAAAGACGCAAGACTGGTGCTTTGAGAACCTGTTCTTCTTCTGGGCATATAATGGTCAATCTGGGAATAGCCCAGACCTCAATTTGATCAAAAATATCCAGGCGACTCTTCAGGAGAGCGTCTAAGAGCTGCTAGTAGCCACCAACATCGATTGCCTCACCAGACAGCTCCAGGAGGCGTGGACTAAGCTTTGGCCTACAGTGCTTGACATGCTCATGTCAATTATGCCTGAACGCCTTTGTAAGTGTATCGCACATAAATAGGAATATATGAAAGGATGAAATTTTCATGTCACCGCCGCTTTTTCCATTGCTATAAGACGAAAAAGTAATTGTTCGCGTAATTACTTTCCACCCTGTACCTGACTTGATTTAAGCAAAACCTTGTGAAACCAACCGCATGTTCAGATCAGGTCACAGACCTACGACAAAATAAGAAATATTTGCGCTGTCCTAAAATGTCGCAACTATGCAACGCAAGTGCCAGCCCCAGGGGAGCTTTCAAAGAGGATGAAACTTAAGTTGTAATGTGACAATTATTCCTTAAATATGCAAGATATTGCAACAAAAATTACCCGACGTTTCGTTTATTATAACGTCATGAAAAGGTTACCCTTGAAAAAGTTATAATAAACGAAACGTCGGGTAATTTTTGTTGTAATATCTTGCATATTTTGAGGATGAAACTTACAGCCGGTCATGGTGGCCTCCCAGTCCCAACTCCCAAGCTCCCACAATTTGTATATCTCGGATTTTTCCTTAGGGTCACCTGAAGTCAGGTCGGTTACGTGACCTCACCGTTACCTATAGCCTATATGTAGGTAACTTGTCAGCGGGGAAAATATGAATAGTGCTATCTTGGCACCGACAATGATTTAAGAATATCTTAATTACATGGAATCGTGCTTTCATACACTCCCCTATTTTAGAAACAACCGTCTATTTCGACGGTCGTTTCTTGTTGCCTGCGGAGGCCAAGTCCGAAACATTAACCTGAACCCGCGCCCCGCTGGGCTATTCAGTCATACGCGCCCTGCTGGGGGGGGGGGGGGGGCAGATTCTGCCGCCCTGTCTAACTTCCGAACCGATGGTCGTAGAAAGACGGGGAAAACGGCAATCGAAAGCTCTCAACAAGGCGGATCTTAAGAGCCCAAATTTTTTGCTTAAGTAGGTCAGAGGTCAGGTCAAGGTCAGGTCAAGGGTACAAAATGCAAGTTTCTACAGTAGGTATCGGTCTTGCACCGTAGTTGCCGAAGAATGGACTGAGACTGATTGCCCAAAACGTGTTCTTAGACTACCAAGACCATATTCGTTGCATACAATGCCATTCAAAGGTCAAGGTCAAGGTCAGGTCAGGTCAGGTCAGGTCACCAAAAACAAAATATAGAAAAGAGCATGTGCGACCCATGTTTTATGGGCCATTTTACTCATAGAATTCAATAGGCACACTCAATAAGTGATATGCCTCTGGATGAATTTCAGGTCGAGGTCAGGTCAAGGTCAGGTCAAGTGAGGTCAAATTTTGAAGTTGGTTGTTAAGGCCTAAAAAGGTGTCTATCAGTTTTTCAGTTTTTTTTTGCAGTTTTTCACGGCAAATCGAATGGTGCTATTTTTGGTACGAGGTCTAGAAATTAAAAAAAAATCATTTTTCGAAATTTTTGTGTGTCGTGACGTCACAAAATTTTGAACAACTCCCACATTTTTTAGCTGATTCTTCTAAAATCTGGTATGTGGGTGCACATAGACCACTTCTCTGACATATATTCCGTTTTTTTCGATACACTCAAAATTTTGGATTTATAATTATTTTCCCAAAAAATCAGTTTTTTGAAAACATTTGGGCCAAAATCCAAGATTTTCAAAAAACCGAGATAGCCATTCGATAGACAAAGTAGAATCACGTTTAACCTTTTTGTAACGTCTTGATTCCTTTAAAAATGAAGATGCTAGCGGCGTTTGAAATTTTGCCGTTTTGAGGCGAAAATGGCGAACATGACGTCACTAAGACCTCAATTTCTCAAAAAAAATTCCGACGGATTTCGCTCAAATTTTCAGCGAACGTGTCAAATTGATGTAGGGATAAGGTACTGAAAGTTTGACGTCGCTGGCATAACGCGTTTAGACGTTATTGGCGAAAAACGGGAGGGGGGCAGATTCTGCCCCCCCCCCAGCGGGGCGCGGGTTAAAATGAGATCAAAGTCGAGAATAACCCGCGCCGGGCCGGTGCTCCAAGATTCCGCGCCGGGCCGGGGGTCTGAACACCCCCCCCCCCCCTTCTAACTCGGCTCCTGGGCCACGTAACGACACGCGGTAAGCGGCAATCGAAAGAACGTCCAAAATAAGGACGAAAACACTTAGGTCATTTTTTTTGGGTCAGGTCAAAGGTCAGGTCACCAGAGGTCACCAAAGGTAAAATGTTGACTATTTCAAGATTTTGGAAACTGCCGACGGCTATCTCGGGAACCGATAGAGCTACAGCGCCGCGGAAAAGCGCATTCGATAGCCATTTTACAGATATTTCTGAATGATCCTCTCAGATTTGACCACAGGTCAACGGTTTAGCCTCAAGAGGGCAAAAACTCCAAAAATAGCCGTTTTTACGAAAAGCGTTTTTTCGGCAATAACTTTTGACTCAAAAGAGCCATGACATAACTTTTGCCAGCATCGTGTTTCTCTTGTCGAGATGCGTCGAATGAATTATAATTTGACCTTGAAAGGTCAACTTAAAAATTTGACCTCAGGTCAAGGTCATGACCTGACCGGAAAAGGTCATGTTGCATATCAGTCGATCCGCAACGTCAAGCCGAACACATCTAAGGCGTTTTCAGCGCTCTAGCACGCCTCTTTCAGAAGTTATTAGCGAAAAACTGTTAGATTCTGTTCGTGACCGAGATGACCTCGGGGACATAACGAGGAGTCACAGTTGCCATTTTCCGGTTCAGTGTGTCAATTTTACCTACATCTCGATGTTTGAGAGTGTCTAGAATAGCGTTCGTGCAAAACGGACGCTTTTCAATTTTCTCCCATTGACTTATAATGGAGAGAGAGAGAGGCCGCTAAATTGACCTGACCTTAGGTCACCGATATCGAAATTCCGAGATATACATTTTATAGATAAGGTTGCTCTTATCAATCGCTGAAAGTTTCAAGGCAATCGATCAGTCGGTGTAGCTACGACGAGCATTCTTATCTTTTTCAGAGGTGAGGTCACTTGGCGTGACCTGGTGACCTGACCTAAGGCGACCTGGGTCTGAAATTTTCACAACATGTGCGGAAAAGATGCACAAACATTAACTTCTAAGTTAGAGACGGGGGGGGGGAGTACCACGCCCCATTTCTTACTTTAGGAGCTCCGCCGTGACCTGCCGCACCGCAAGTAAAGATCACATGAAGACCAACTGGCGACCTTGCATACAGGTCAGTTCCATGAGCCATGTGCCGCGTTTTGGCTTTGGGACTAAACTCGGGGGAAAATGGTTGGCGAAAGCGCATGCCAATCTATCACAGTGCACATATTAGTTTACCAATAGATTATTAACCATAGACAATCGGATATGTACGCGCCTTGCGAAACTCTGCGCTTTATCCATGTTCCGCTGCGGTCATGGTGCGCTCAGCTACCCGCGGTAGCCGCAGTCGGGTCAAGGTCTGGCGCCACCTTCCCTGTACCGGGGGCGGGCGGCAGCGGCAGCTAGCCGGCCGGGTCCGGGTCAGCTCACCGAGCTCTGAATCATCGGTCCTCACAGGTCTGTTATTATAGTCGCCGAGGCCAAGGGCGCAGGGATTATACCGCATCGAATGGCCGTGCGTTACGCTGATCTGATTAGCTAGCCATCTGTATTTAGCCAGACTGGAAGGCTGAAACTGGGAGAACAAGTCTTTGGTGCAAGAGTGCAGCAGAGTTACAACAATGGATAACACCCTCTTCCCGTGTGTCGTAATTTCCACGGAAGTTTATACGTGCAAACGAGCGAGCGTGCGTGCGTTCTATTGATGGCGTAGGGGAGAGTGGGGCAAAGCGGCCACCCGGGGCAAAGCGGCCAATCGTGTGTCAGCTCCAGTAGAGCTCCAGACCTTGCCCGTACTTCGGCCGGAGTAAGTACCGGAGCTACCCAGAGTAAAACCAGATACGGCCCATACCAATTTTTTACTGGCTGGGTTACTCCTACTATCGCAGACATTGCAACTGGCTCACATTTATCAAAATATGCTATGCATAATGCATATACATAAAAAACAAATAAAAGTACGCATTTATTGAAACATTAAGTGTACAAAAATATCGCATACATTTCTTAGGCCACCATTACGCACTCGCACATTGAACAAGACACATCACGTACAAAATTATCAGCTCAAAGCTCGTAACCCCGGCCGACGCGTTTCTAGTCTTTAACTTTAATTCAGAAGAACACATAATAAGCGTCGCTAAACAGCTGGAATCACTTTCCAACAATCACACCTATGACAAAAGCACATACGCTCATCTCGGTACTTTCAGTGTCCATTCTCAAGCAGCACACACCAACACAAAGGAAGACACATAATTTGACTTCAGAAGCTAACAAGCGATGCAAATATTAATGGCACAAAGGAACGTAATTGCTAATAGCAAAGTCGACACGCAATACGCTTCCTAAAACACTGTGTCTACAAACAACGCTTGGAAGCCTGCTCCGTATCCAAAAGCGCATTTCTGAAGAGCCGTACAGCATACCATCAGGCGTCAACAATCACCCGGCTATCAGGTGATCCACTGTGCAAACTACATCACAATAAACGTTTTTATTTCAATCATGATCCGCATTCACAAGGAATTCCTATCCTCCCCAAAACACTATCATTTCACCCGATTGTCAAGAATCACTGCAAGAATCATCCCCACTGCTCGATTACTCCATTCATTATCACCGAATCATTCGCTCGACCCGATTGATTTCCCACAGCGCACCCACGCCCCGCCGTCGGCTACTTCTTGTTCCGCTGTATCCAGTCCAGGTACGCGCTGACGCGCGTGTACACGCCCGGGAAGCCGGGCTTGCCGCAGCCGACGCCGGCCGACACGACACCGATCTGCTCGTAGCGTCCGTTCTCCAGCTGTCGGACCATCGGCCCGCCAGAGTCGCCCTGCGTGCCCGACGGGGAATAGAACGTTCAGCTCGGCCAGAGAGTAGAGGGGACCCTGACCGCGGCCGTAGGGCATAGCGACCGAGTAAGAAGAGTGAAGAAACGAACTAAAGAGGCTGAAACTAATACAAAATCAAGAGATTTGGAAGGAAAACTAACCAGCATTAACTACAAAAATTAAAGGAAAACTCGCTCCCGGGTGGGCCTTTCAGCCAACTTTGCCATGGGGGGGAGGGGCTTTTTGGCCACACCAAGTTATCTCGGAAAGTAAGTAAGCTAGAAAGACGCGGTGAAAAGCGATAGATAGCTCGCTTTACGATCTTTCAGGATTATAAAGGTCATTTTTCGATTAGGTCATCGCTGAGGTCACTGGAGATCACCAAGGGTAAAACTATCGTGACTTTTTGTTCCCGATTTTTACAAATTTTCACGAAACGGCGCATAAGTCGGGAACCAATAGAGCTACAGCGTTTCGGAAAAGCGCATTTGATAGCTCTTTCAAATGCCTTTCGGAATGTTGCTCTCAGATTTGACCTAAGGTCAACGGTTTAGCCTCCAGAGGACAATAACTTAAAATTGGACGTTTTTGCGGAAAACGTTTTTTCTTAAATAACTTTTCTCTCCAAGCTTGTATTACGCTGATTTTAACGACATCGCGTTTGTCTCGTCGAGACGCGTTGAATGAGATACAAGTTGACCTGGAAAGGTCAACTTAAAAAAAAATTACCTAAGGTCAAGGTCACAGAAAAGGTCATGTTGCATATCATTTGATTCGTATTGCTGAGCTGAACACATTCATGGTGTTTTCAGTGCTCTAGCATGTTTCTTTCTAAAGTTATTGTAAAAAAAAACTGTTAGTTACGTCTCATGAGCTGAGATGACCAGAGCGCCATAAAAGGGGTCACAGCCCACAGGTGCAATTTTACCATTCAGTGTGTCATGTTCACAAGCGTTCCGATGTTTTAGGGTGTTTTCGACCAAAAGAAGAGCATTTCATTTTTCTCCTATTGACTTAAAATGGAGGAGTCACAAAACTGACCTGACCTTAGGTCACCGATATCAAATTTCCTAGATATTCAAATTTGGTACTGATTCCCTCACGCAATAGCCCGAGTTTCAAACTTCTGGGATGTAAGTTGTAGGAATGACTGAATCGCAAAGTTTTTAAGAGGCATGGTCACTTAACTTGACCTGGTGATCTGACCTTATGTGACCTGGGGTCAACAATTTTGCACACGATGCGAAATGTATGAATCATAACTCATAACCCATTCCGAGTTTCGCAGTGCTGCGCGCCGCGGTTTTCTTTACACACGCAAAAAAACTGGCACGTGTGGCCAAAAACACCCCCTCCCCCACTCGGGCGAAGGATAATAAGGCTAACTATGAAAGCTGTTAACTATGAAAGCATAGGAGTACAAACTCATGCATCTACAGAGGAAAAATGGAGCGTGTTTGACCCTGCGGCGGCTCGTTGACGTGTCGCCGGCCGGGCCACTGACCTGACAGGCGTCCTTGCCGCCCTCCTCCTCTCCAGCGCAGAGCTTTTTGTCGGTGAAGCCGCCCGGGAACTGGTTCTTGAAGCTGGAGGACGACTCGTAGACGGCCTGGCAGTCGGGCAAGGCCACCACCGGCAGCTTCACCTCCTGCAGGATGCTGCTCGACTCGCCACCTGGCGGCAGGTAAAACAACTTGTAACTCGTGTGTTCGCCGCGATGGCCGCCGAATATCCGAGGTGGTGACTCATGGTGAGTGGCGATGAAATATGAAGTTTTTGGAGCTGTGTTCTAAACGAGGCGATTTAATGAGCGAGATCACATATCGCTTTGATATTCTTAAGATGAAGTGATATTCTCCATTGTCAAATTTACAATGATCTAAAACAAAATTTACAATGATCAAATTTACAATGAATGATATGGCATCACATCACTTCGAATGTAGTTTCTCACGCCGCCGTCCCCGCCGGGTAGCCTGCCCGACTTACCGAACTCCGTGTAGCCCCATCCGGCCACGTCTACTCGACTGCCGGCGTAGTCGCCGCTCGGCCCCTCCGGCAGACAGATGGGCTTGATGGCCTCGTTGAACACCACGGGCCGGTCGAGGTGTACCAGCGAGATGTCGTCGTGCAGCACCGGGAACTGACAGAAGGGTGGCACGGTCGGGAGGGGTCAGCATCGGGGTGTGTTTGGCGAGGGTGGCACAGCCGGGGAAGGTCAGAATAGGGGTGTGGACTGTGGAGCCCAGTGGAGCCTGTACCGAGAGAGCGCGGCACGGTAAGGGAGGTCAGAATAGGGGTGTGGAGGTCAGTGGGAGTCTACCGATAGAGCGCAGCACGGTAAGGGAGGTCAAAATAGTGGTGTGCCGGTCACTGGGAGCTTATACCGGCAGGGAGCGGCATGGTCCTAGGTCATTCAGGGCAGCGCCGGTGGAGTATAGGCAGCAGTGCCAGGTGTGACGCCCTGTGGGCGGCGCCGGTGGAGTATAGGACAGTAGTGTCAGGTGTGACGCCCTGTGTGCGGCGCCGGTGGAGTATAGGACAGTAGTGTCAGGTGTGACGCCCTGTGGGTGGCGCCGGTGGAGTATATTAGGATAGAAGTGTCAGGTGTGACGCCCTGTGTGCGGCGCCGGTGGAGTATAGGACAGTAGTGTCAGGTATGACGCCCTGTGGGCGGCGCCGGAAAAAGGCAGGACAGTGGCAGTTGTCCACTGATCGGCGGGAAGCACCAAGATAGAACAAAGCAGGTACGTCCGGCCATCCGTGGGTCTGGGTGCTAGGTAGCTTACAGGTGACACGAGAGAGAGAGCAGTAAACATACCAGAAGGGTTCCGCTCCTTCAGTCACTTGTGGGTAGGCACGTCGGAAGGCATCCACCCGTCCGTCGTTTCCATCCTCAGGACATTCAAATCTTTCTCCTCAACGTCGCAACCCTCCGTCCGGGCTGGGCAGTGCACAGGGCCAACTTTATCTCATGCAGGCTGCTTTATTGGAGCGGCACCGCTGCTCCCAAGGGAGCATACCCGTAGCCGGGTGCAGAGAGTGCTTGGGAGGCTGTTCGGCCTATCCTTACGGACGGGCTCAGCCCCGGTGACTCTCAAGGGTGCTTGCCCAGACCAATGTCTCCCACTAATTCCTATCATCCTCCCGGCTCTAAAATGGTCATATCAGATCGAAAGAGCCTAAAAAACAACAACAAACAAACAAACAAATCGGAAGCTATCGACCGAGCAGACGGCTCCTGCAAAAGGTTCGGACTAAATCTATAAAAAAGAGACTACAAACATTAACTCAAAAGCTAAAAATACCTGTGTATCGCCGCAACACTCGAGTCACTTACGGCGAAGTCCATGTGGTTGGTGAAAGAGGTGACTCCGTAGTCCTGCGGGTTGGCGCCGTCATTGCCAGTCGAGGTGTCGTACTCGCCGAGACGAACCACCAGCGTGGCCCTGAGGGCGCACAGCCGACACCGGTGTCAGACGCGCCTACACGCACTCGCATTTCTCGATCAAAGGCGTCTTGACTAGCAAATGACATAGTAAATATTGGTGAAACTAAAAAGATTAATTTAAAAACAGAAAATGACAAATTTTGTGGATAAATCACACCCAAAGCAAGTATGATGTGCTGAGTTTTTTTTTTTTTTGACGAGTTAAACACGACTGGCGCGCGGAGAGCATTTGTTCCTTGTGACATCGGTTACTCACAGATTGACAGCTCTGGGTTTGAGGCAGTGCGCCGCCGTCAGGACGTTCCTATTATCAATCAGCGTGCCGCCGCAGAACCAGAACGGCGGCTTGTTGCCCTGCTTGTTTCCAATCAGCGCCTGCGAAAAGAGCCAGGGATGGTAGAAACTGTGGCATGTGAAATATGCATACGAGAAGGGAAACTGGGATAATCGTTCACAGACGTTCATATAGAAAACTTTAGCTTTGCTCTAATAATCTGATTCATGGGCAAGCGAAATTCCATGTGAATACAGTAGCGGCGGAACACCCCCAATTAAGGGGTGGCACTGCCGACTTTTGGTCCCATTCTTTCCGTACAACGCCCATAGGGCTAATGTTAAATGCCAAAATCAAAGGGGGGCACGGTGCCCCGGTGCCCTCCCCGTTCCGCCGCCTATGTGTGAATAGGCTTTAGGTTATCATGTCGGCCGACATTTCACTTACGATCCAGGGCCATTTTCCGATTTCGGCGTTTTTGCCTCCGATAACGCGGATGTCGAACAGGAGGTCTGATCGGGCCTGGGGCTGCTGGTCCTGCTGCAGCCACACGGTCTTGGGCGTGGGTAGCCCGCACTCTGCGAGCACCAACACGGTCAGCCACGCATCGGCAAGGAACAGGCGTTCCGCGGTGGTGATAAAATACGGCGGTAGTTTTCGCACTTTTTCCGTGGTAAGGCAATTGTGCATTACATTACATCAATGAATTAATTAATATCAGGATTAAAATCGCATTTCAGTAGACGTAGTATCAACAACAGTGGAGTATAATTCTTTAGGGGTTAGTGTATTACCTGCGTGCGTTACAGCGGGTGTGGCAGTAGAGGACTCCAAGCGCCCCGAGAGAGTCTCATTCGTGGTTTTGTCACCGCCAATCAGTCCGCCTCCGCCGATAAAGCCTCCTCCACCGCCAGCGTTACCGCCGCCACCAGTAGCGAAGCCCCCACCTCCGGTACTGAGGCCGCCCCCTTCACCACCGGCCCCGCCAGGGCCGACGAAACCACCGCCCGTGGCAGCACCACTGCCGGAGGTAGATGGCTCACCGCCTGTGGCAAAACCACTGCCAGAGGTAGACGGTCCACCGCCTGTGGCAAAACCACTGCCGGAGGTAGACGGTCCACTGTCGGTGCCAAAACCACTGCCAAAACCACTGCCAGAGGTAGATGGTTCACTGCCTGTGGCAAAACCACTGCCAGAGGTAGACGGTCCACTGTCGGTGCCGAAACTACTGCCACTGCCAAAACCACTGCCAGAGGTAGACGGTCCACTGTCGGTGGCAAAACCGCTGCCAGAGGTAGACGGCCCACTGTCGGTGGCAAAACCACTGCCGGAGGTAGACGGTCTACTGTCGGTGCCGAAATTACTGCCACTGCCAACACCACTGCCAGAAGTAGACGGCTCACTGCCTGTGGCAAAACCACTGCCGGAGGTAGTCGGTCCACTGTCGCTGGCAAAACCACTGCCGGAGGTAGACGGCCCACTGTCGGTGGCAAAACCACTGCCGGAGGTAGACGGCCCACTGTCGGTGCCGAAACTACTGCCACGGCCAAAACCACTGGCGGAGGTAGACGGTCCACTGTCGGTGGCAAAACCAATGCCAGAAGTAGATGAGCCGCTGTCAGTGGCAAAACCACTGCCAGATGAGCCTCCGCTACTGCCAAAACCACGGCCAGGTGAGCCACTGCCAGTACCAAAACCACTGCCAAAAGTAGGTGGTTCACTGCCACGGCCAAAACCACTGCCGGAAGTAGACGATTCACTTCCCATGGCGAAGCCTTCATTTGACGAATCGCCGTCGGAAGGCTTTGAGGAGCTCCCGCCAGGGAAACCGCTACCAGAAGAGAACCCGGTGCCAGCAGATCCACTTCCGGCGGGTTTCGAAGTGCTCTCGACAGAGACACCAGCACCAGAACCAAACCCTCCGACGAATGGGCTACTGCTGGAAGGTTTACGTGTGCTTCCACTAGAGAAGCCACCGCTAGATATGGCAAATCCCCCGTCCGAAGACCCGCCACCAATGGCAAATCCCGTACCAGAGGAACTGTCTCTGGTGGGCTCGGCGAAACCACCACCAGAGGCGAACCCCGAGCCAGTGTCTCCATCGGACGGGAATCCGCCACGAGGAGGGTCACTTCCAGAGGAAAAACCACCACCCGTGCCACTCCCAGATGCGAACCCTTCATTAGAGGTACCACTGCCAACAGGGAACCCAACACCAGACATATCACTTTCAGAACCACTACCTCCAGTGAAACCGCCGTTAGTGAAACCACTCCCCACGAAACCTCCGCCAGGGGAACCAGATTCGGCAAAACCATTACCGGCAGGGGCACTGGTAGTTGAGGGCCTTACAAAACCGCCACCACCGAAACCTCCAAAGTTAGCGCCTAGTGATCCTCGAGTTGGTTCGGGTTCCGGCGTAGCGGAAGGTCTCAAACCAAAGAATACACCGCCACCGCCCAAGCCAGAAGAGGGTCGAAGACGGCCGCTTTGAGGCACCACTCCTTCAATGCCAGCAAACGGGCTCGTGCCGAACGAGAACCCGCTGCCGGTGCTGGTCTGGGGCGGCGCCGTGGAGCCCCAGGACAGCCACGGGTCGCCGCCGAACAGACCTCCCAGCGGCGAGCCGAGCGAGCCGCCCGCGCCCGGGTCACCGGCCGTGGAGCCCGCCGGCTCGACACCTCCCCCGGCCGCAGGGTCCGGCTCCACTTCCACGGTCACTTCGACCGGATCTGGCTCGGGACGATCAATATCTGAAACGAAATGAACAGAGGTTAAAGTTATATGGCAAACTCATGAACGAAATATCTCCCAAAGGACTGCGCCAACGGAAAATCAATTACCAAACAGTCTTCCTCAAAGCATTTGTGTAACAATCAAATACAACGAAGCAAGTGATACCTTTTTTTTTTGGGGGGGGGGGGGCGCCCGGACTACAGTGGTCATCGGCGAAGTGATACCTTTTGTGGTAATGTATAAGCTTCACAAACAACTCCGTCTCCGTTCCCCTCTGCTTTCTGAATGGGGCCTCACTCTGGCGTCGCAGCGGGAACGGGCAGCAGATCTTCCGGCGCCGCCGCCGGCCGCCGGAGCACAGCGTCTCGATGGCCGAGACGCGCAGACGTCTGGGCGGGCAGCGGTTCCGCCGGCGACACACGCCCTCGAAGCCGTCGTCGGTGGTGCACAGCTTGCGGCCCTGCGTGGTCTCCTCCTCAGGGTCTGAGGGCAGGAGGACGGAGTCGGGGTGGTAACGACGGCAGGAAATGCAGTGGTGCCGCTAAATCGTAGCGTGAACGGCGTTCGTAGACCAGAATGTGCAATAACGAGCCAGGAACGGCTGTGACGGCAACAGGAGAGGTGATCGTATTACGGTTTCAGCTAACTATTTGGAGACAGTGTCAGAGTAGCATAGTCATGAGCCCAAACAGTTCGGGTGCACTGCTGGCAATGTTAACAAGATCTTCAACTCTCGGGTTTTCTGCCGTCCTGAGGACTCCCGCGGATAGTTACCCTGTAGCATTGTCACTGACAGCTATTTTCAGTCTGAGTGAAATGTATTTAGGTACATAAAACTCGAGCATGCATTCATCTGAGTACACACATGGCTGGACAGCGCCCAGATGACATGAACTCAGAGACTGACCGTTTGAGGTTGCACGCCATGGTTACGCTCGGAACCAGCACCATCATGGACAAACCTATAAATAGCCACATCGCTGCCTTCTTACAGCATTTTCCTCATCACTGGGTAGTGAGTACATACATAGTTGGCTATCCAGTATCATGCAATTGCGAGAATAACTCAATATTACATTACCAGAATCCCATTGCTTATGGCCTGGGTGCCCACTCTATCAGGCAGTCATGCATTTGCGGTTAAGACGGAGCAGACCGGTCCCTCCTTACTCCTTAGAAGTTAGAATCTCTCCTTGTTGTCGTCTCTGTTTGGTTGTTGTTCGCATGAAATGCGAGGCTAAGCTTCGCTACTTATTACGCTGCCGGTCCCGTAGCTCAGTTGGTTAGAGCGTTGGACTCCGCGTGGTGAGAGCACGCGTTCCCGGTTATAACAGTCCGGGTTCGAAGCGCGACGGGCGCTCGACATTTATGGGCCTCCTGACAGGTATGGTTGCGGTTGGTGGCAGGCCGTAGCCAGGCGAAGTCAGCGAGGGGACCGGCCGTGCGCGGCTTTGTGCGCACGTTAAACTTTGGACTCTAAATTCTGCCATAGAACTGGAATTGCGCGATCGGAGGGTAGAGGGCAGGGTCATCGCAACAAGCTTCGCTTAGCGGTGGCTCTGTCCTTGTGAATCCTTCCCATCAAAAGGTTCGGACAAAATTAAAAAAAAATTATTCATCTATATACCTAAAAAAATGTTTTTCACGTTATAGCATGCACGCACACGTAAAATATGCGGCTAGATGAGTCATAAAATGACGGTGATCGATGTTCCCCTAATTCCTACCATCCTTCCTGCTCTGAAAAGGTATCGTTTGACGTAATAATTATGTTTGAACTTTACTATGGCTGATTTGATATGGCATCAACCCCCATGCATACTTTTAGTGCAGCGTGCAGCTTTTCCGTATTTGAGGAGAGCGCAGGGCGTCCCGTCTTCTCAGCATCCACCCATCCCTAACAGTATCCCATGGCATGCTTGCCCACACGGCCTATGGATGCATGGCTCATGTAACTGCTGAACCTTAAGCTACAGCTGAAGGTTCTGTGACATGCCAACTCTATCGCAACTTATAACTGCTTTTCCATGCGTCCGAAATACCCCCGTTTCGCCACAAAGCTCGCGCTCCGAGACCTCCCGCCAAAATACGGAAAGCCCGCCGCGAGGCCCCACCAAGGCCAGCGCCTGCCGTAGACGGTACCTGCGAAACCGGACCGTGTCTGCGGCCGCTGCCAGCGGGGATTCCAGCGCCACCCTGCAACGGAGCGACACTGAACAGTTCACAGGCGCGCGCGTGGGTCCTCTGCTAGGTGAACGCCTGGGCTATTTATTATTAATTCCTAACAGATAAATGCCTGCTGTAGGTGTCGCATTTAGAGGAGTCAAACTGCATAATAGCGGCAAGACGGTCGGGAATAACCAGGGAATAACTTCGAAACGATTATAGCACCTTGCACACAGTGACAGCATACGAGTATGAAGAGATTGGCTACATGTGGGTTGCATGTGGGTATGCTTCATATCTTCTCTGCTTGCACTAGCTTTATCAAGGGTGAAGGCAATATGTCATAACAACGTTATCTTTTCAAAAATATCGAAACCGACCTAAATTCCTAAGTGATCGCGGAATCCGTATAGATGCAGGAAAAGAGGGCGAATTCGGACCCCACGCAGTCATGGGCGGAAAATGCAATTTGACAAATTACCGACCATGTTTAGTGACGTAGTAAACATTTGGTGCATTTGCGCAAAACTCCGGGTTGGCGCACCGATGACGTCAACTATGACGTCATCATCCGCCCCAGAACGTCTACCCCGGTAGTTCAGCGTCATCCAGGGCTCAAAAGTCGCGTCATCGCCATCGACTAGGAAAATCCAACGTTTATGCAAAACGCATCGACAATATTACTGGCTTCAGACGTACGATTGAAGGAAAAAAGGCAAGGGATGAGATTCAAACTCTGGCATTCTGAACGAACTGATAACATGGAAACATCTACAGTTTTATCGCATTTCGGTTTTAACAGAAAAGTTCCTTAGATGTGACAAATCATTATCACAAACGGTAACATTACCAAGAAAAAGAATGCAAAATAGGCAATTGAACCTGGCAAATGGTGACCACATGTTCCCTTTATTGACCTCACCTGAGGCCCAACTAGCTACAACTGAGGTATGTGGCTTTATCCTCGAAAGGAAGCGTGTGAGAGACCGTCAAGGACTGGATCGAAACTACATATTTTAAACTCTGAAATAAGAAACGGTAGCGATGCAACGAACATCTGGGTGAACAGCGTTTACAGCCGAGGAACTACTTCATAAACTGGGTCCTACCAGTAACCTACATATGTTGGGAAACCAGGCGTCCTCTTACAGAACGGGGTCGGTATACACTGCCGAAATGTAAACAAAAGCCTGACCCACACTGGCGTAAAGTAAACCATCGACACAGTGCGAGGAACGCGTCAGATCGTCCCGGATCCCGCGGCGCCTCCTCTCACACCCCTCTGTCGCACTTACCTTGTAACCGCATCCCTGCACAGACGGCGACGACGGCCAGCAGAGCGGCCAGCACGGGTAGCGCGCGCATGGTGAGACCGGTGGACGATGTCGCGGCACCAGCCGTACGATCACACACGGCGCTGGTGGCCGACTGAGAGACCGCCGCGAGACGGCACTGCCGGCGCCACAGCCGGGCGGGCGGCCCCGGCACTGCAGCGGACCGCTCAGCGCCGCCGAGGGATCCTCTCAGGGGAGCGGAACAGCGCCGGTAGCGGTGACGGTTCAGGGTACCCCAATCGACCGCGACTGCAGCCGGGAGTGGGCACCCCGGCGGCAGACCGGTCCGCTGCTGAACGATGACGTGATGAACGGTCCGCAGTGGCGAGGTCCGGTCCGACTGGAAAATACCGAGAATAAGAGAAGCACAGGCTGGACTCGACGGAAAATGGGACGGGTATATTATCAACAATAGCATGGCGTGATTCAGAGTTAGGAGACATAACAAGTAAAAATTCAGTCAATTATCATATTTATTAAACGTTCAATATCTAAGTCAAATTATAAAAAGGAGAACAAAGACGTTACTGCGAGCAAATATAAATAAACTATCATACTAATGGCTCCATGTTTTTTGACCAAATGCCTACAGCTGGATTAGCGAGCTTACCTTTGTATCGTGCAACGTGCGGTCCGACCTCCATCACATACAGATGCTTCACGCTATATTGTAGAAACGAAAAAAAGAGTGGGGTAATCTTCCCTTTTCTAAAACATGGGTCAGCGAATTACTGTGTTCTCCGTAGTTTTCCAGACCCTCGAGGCATTCAATGAACAGGATATTTTGTTTTTGTCCTGGATGAAGTATTTCTTTTATGATACGACTACCGACACCAGAGAACACCAGAGAACCGTAAAGACACATGATTTCCGGTAGCCATCGGCCAAAAACCAGAGTATCTTTTAAGCCAGGCCTATATCCATTATCTGCGCACACCCGGTAGAACAGCATGAATGGAAATTATCACGAACCAGCCGCCAGTGCCACATCAGACACTATCGCACAATAAAACATGAGCACTACACCGTAAACACGCTGATGATGGCGGCGACTCTCCATTCTCAACGCAGGGAGTGCAAAACAAGCAGTAGTCGGCCAGCCGTCACTTCCACCGCCAGCGGCGACTGGCGCGGGGCACGGGGTCGCAGAAGAAGCTCCTCACCATCAGCACCTGGACGGCCAGCACGGCCACCATCACGGCCATCTGCAGCAGCGACCACCGGTTCACCGTCTGCAGGTTGGCCTCTGCCACGCTGCGGTCCCGCGCCTCCAGCAGCCGCAGCTGCCGCTGCTGCTGCCGAGCCTGGTACAGACGCACACCCATCTGGTCGATCAGGTGCTCGATGTCAAACAGCTTGAAGTCATAATCCTTCGAAGATTCTGTCGCTTCGAAGACGATGTCCTGGCGATTCCAATCACTACCGCTTCGGTTTCCTACTGAGGTTGTGAAGAACACCTGCTTGATGCTGTAGGTGAGGAAGTTTCCAAAGCACGCCTTGAAGTCACCGTCTTCCTCGGCAATGAAACTGTGGAAGTTCCGGCTGCGTTCGAGGTCTGAGGCCACTATCGCACCAGACGCAGTAGTGAGGTAAAAGTTGATCCGCGATTCGGCCTCATCTCCTTTTTGCACGACGTTATACTGGATGACAAGCTTCTCACCGGTCTCGGCGGGGGCGTAAAAGCACCTCTCATCTCCAGGGTCGATGTTAACAGTGAACTGTGATTCAGACGATGATAAACAAATGAAGCTGATCAGCAAACACAACAGGAGCGTATGAAACATCACTTATCGCTCCTTTCATGCACCGCAAAAGCCCGTATCAGCTGCACATTTTGATATTTGCTGCACGATTCCAGTCTTCGAATTGCTTATTTTGGAGCAAAAATTAACTATTGAGCAAAATGATGAACAAAACAAAACAACGTCTTAACAGAATTTAACTGAATGGAATCCGATGCCCCAATCACCACCGCTGGCATCGACCGCTACCCGCCTAGTATTCTATGACCGTGGCTACCCGCAAGGCCGGCTACCCGCATCACCCACAAAAAGTAGCGCAATCCAAGCGCAATCTCTGCAATGAAATAGCCGATTCGTTATCGTTAGGTAGCACGTGACCAGCTTTATTGGGCCCCGCCATACTTATGAGAAGCACCGTATTATTTTTCCTGGACATCTAAAAGATGCAGCAACTATGGTATCACAGCGCATTTTGCACTAAAAATAACTCGGTGGACATGGAAGTGCAAGCGACAATAACAAATGTGACGAGCGTTTCATAGGTCAGAGTGCACGGACCGCAAGCATAACACTAGCCTCATCACAGCTGCTAGGCACCATATCACATTAGGCAGGCACCCACACAATATCACAGTTAGTTGGACTTCGGGAAGCACCAACGGCAGCTCCACTATCATCTTCGTCACCACTGAACGCACTCCTGAGTTCTAACCCTGGAACATGCGCCGCCTATCGGGCACTACCGCCATGTCTAGTTTCCTCTCCTCTCTTCCGATCTACCCCGTCAGTCTCCCAGCCTTCTCTACACAGCACCAGCATTCGTCCTCCACGGCGCTCCTCCGACACGTGGGCGTGAAACACGTCCCCGCACACGGCGTGCGACCGCAGCAGCGGCTCCAGCCGCCGCCACAGGCCGTCAAACAGAACCACATGGCTGGGCAGCCGGCCGGCGGGCCCACCTGTCCGCGGCACAGAGGAGCCGGCTGACAGGGACGGGTACTCGCGGCGCAGCCACAGCTCCGGGTCCTGGTAGAACCGGTCAGCTTCGTCCGTGTAGTCGGCGACACCCTCCAGGTTCGGCTCGCACGTCAGAAAGCGAGTGGCGACGTTGACGTGAAGATGGCTGCGAGGAGAATCGCATTGTTATTTGAAGTAATTAACGATCCTGTGTCACAAAGGCATCACAGAGGAATGAAGCAAGACGATAAGAGCCAGCATCTCTGGACAAGTTTAAGCTCAAGGGCAAGGGAAACCGGTTCTAAATCCACTAGACGCTGCAAGATTCCGAGAAAAGATCATAGCCGTGTATGTGCATATGGTCATTACATATCAATGCATTTGGTAAGAAGCTTATCGGCATGCATATCAGACAGCACAAAAATTCACGAAAATTAACGAAGTCCACTGTGACGATCACTATCCGACTCAAGTTCACTCACTGACCGCCCCCTTACCTATACAGCGGCGTGCTGTGACAGGGCATCAGGTAGAGCACCGACGCCGCGTGAGCGGGCCCCTCTGCCAGCCGCGCGGCCAGCACGGCGGTAACGTCCAGCGGACCGCGCTGGTGTACCAGTCCCAGGTACAGGGCGGCCGGCAGGTTCGTCACCACCAGCAGCACCTTCAGCGCCGAGCACCACCTGCAGGGGAGAGCATCGGAGTGGTGGGATGGAAATACCGTGGAAACATGATTCATTTGGAAAACATTTGGAAATGCTGTGGATATAGTATTTCCTTTAGCGTAAATATGACACCAAATGGTACTCAGCCGTCTGTGATGCACAAAAAAACTCATGAGATCTAAGAATCGCATGGGTGTTCAGTGTGCACTGTGAATTACCCAAGCGATCCTTACATCTCATGCGATTCGTCACTGTAACTGTAAGTAACATTAACACAGTAATTCCAGTCTGTATCGATGTAAATTATATGAAATACCTACAGGTAAATACATAAAGTACGACATATGTACAACATAATAAAATTCATACAAATAATGATCAACCCCGGTTGGTGAGCTTCAGCGGCCTCTGTTTGCTGGCAGTTGCTACAGTACAAACCACCACATCCGCATCTTGGATGACCTTAAAAATGTCTTCCTCATTGAAAGGTACACAAATAATGCGTCAAAGGCTCACCTCTCACTCATGCGACTCAGCTGGACGAAACCTTTTCCTGCCAGAAGAGCGCAAAATGGCCAGATGGAGAGAAGGAACCGAAATTCCTTGTGAGGCAGAGCGCTGAAAGAAGAAAAATCGTTTTTCAGCGTAATACATCTCAGCAATAAACCTCGATTATTGATAAATAACAAAAATGTATAATACATTGTAAGAAATAGCTCTACAAGAATGCACGGGGGGGGGGGGGTGATTTAAGGTTTTTCGCGAATAACTCGCGTAAAAAGCGGCCGATCGCGACGAGACTTTCAGTACCCACGCCATGATCAATTTTACACATATCCTGAAAATTTCATGACCCTGACATAAATGACCTTTCACCTGTGACCTACTTTTCCGGGACCATGTTTGGTCGGAATCGCGATTCGGCGTATGTCGGCTCGCATTAGCCGCGCGCTTGCAGTCTTTTCGTGGTTTCAAGCGTTCAAACATGTGATTTGATGTTGCTCCCATGCTGCATTAGGGTGGATGTCAAGGTCACCTGAAGGTCACCTTTGATGACCTCGGTCCACTTTTTAGAGTTTTACATGTTTCTAGGCTAGTTTTTGGAGCTGAATTCGAATTTAGCAACCATTTGAACATTTACGAAGTAGTTTTGGTGCCTTCGTAACATGTTACGAAATTGTCAGAGGCGGTTGACACGTACTACGAATACCTGGCAGGACCCCTACTGGTTGACCTGACCTGACCTGACCCGACCTGGCCTAAATGCATAAAGACATCATCTGTGATCAAAACTAACATGATATTCGTGATCAGCACCCCGAAGAACCCCGTAGCAGCCGCACTACGACGTTCTAACAGGTCCCGATTTTCCCGACTTTTGGGTCATTGACCTGACCTGGAAGGTCAACCGATGACCTAGGACCTTAAAGTTGGGTATCATCGGCTTTTTCTCGTCACGGGCAACATTTTTTCCGCTAAGCTCTACCTCGATCAGGGGCCAAACGCGAGGGGGTCCCCTTGTGCCGTCGAAGGACGCAAAATGGCCTGTGCCGGCGAGGGCTAAAACAATTGCAATAACGAAGCATGAACAACAAACATCGATAACCATGATCAGGCATTAGCTCACAGTAAAATATAGATACAGGATACCACCTGGGCGCACGAGCCACACGCCGTATCCCGTACAGACCGCCCCTCCCAGCGTCCGACCTCACCTGTACACGGCCACCAGCCACAGGACGGCTCCCAGACATAGCGTCTCTGGCCTACCGGGGCGGCGGACCCCCAGCAGTACCGGCACTGCCTGCACGCCCAGCAGGGTCGGCAGGCTGGCCGTCAGGTGCGCGCGCCACGGCGAGGTGCCGTAGTGGGAGGCCACGCCGCCCAGCACGTTGTGCCGCAGGAAGGCCAGCGGACTGAGGAGGGGGCTGCCGTGGCCGAGGGAGTCGACCAGCAGGCACCCGCCGACCGCCGACACACTGCGAGAATAGGGTCAGATGTGTCAGAAGTAGAACGGGACTGAGGGGGAGGCAACACGCCGATATAATTTGTGTATGATATCAGCCCGTTCTGCAGACGATAACATTTTCCGGAAATCGTTGTTTTTATGAACGTTCGAAAATAACTATACCTGTGCTCATGTTATAATGCATCGCCTGTCCGAATATTCTTAGCATAGCTCAGCCTCAGTCATCTATAGCGTCAGATACCCGTTAATAAACCGATCATAAATCACACAACCCTTCTCTGTCAACACAACTCCAACACTTATATACAGTACCAGTCACGAGACTCTCCTTACCCTATCAGTGCTGTGATGAGCAGCAGCTGTCGCCGGCGGGGAGACGAGGCCATCTCAGCCACCCAGAGAGGCAGCCAGGCCAAAGCAGCGGTGGGCCGCACCGCCGTCGCCAGCGCCCCCACCGACAGGTACAGCGACGAGGCGCCACCTGCCGACCGCGTGAACAGTGACTGGTGAGTGGTCGGGACAGTGGAACGGAATGAGTGGAAAAGGGATGTGGCGGTATCCGGACACATTATTTGACGTTACTACTTGCACTATATGTGCGACTGAAAGAAAAGGGATTGCACAAGAAACTTTTTTTTTGTTATTCAGGAGGTGAGGGCGAGGCCAATAACTTACCGGGTGTCAGGGTCTCCGGTCTTTCAAAGTCCGAGTCAGGGTCATACCAGTCTGGGCCGTCAGTCAGTGTCTGGGCCCACCTTTGGTCTCCGGCCGCCACGGGTACCAGCGCAGTGCCACGGCCAGCAGCGCCATCTCGACGGTGTTGGCCAGGGTGCGGGAGCCGCAGTAGAACAGACACCAGGAGGTGGCCAGCGACCAGGCGGTGCCGGAGGAGGCGCGCGGACCCCACAGCCGACCAGCCGTCTCCACCAGGGACACATCGCCGGCCCAGGTCAGCAGCGCCACCAGCAGACGGGGGATGATGACCTGGGGTCAGGAGCAGTGAGTCAGAGGTCAGTGACCTCGGGTCAGGTCAGCAGCGCCACCAGCAGACGGGGGATGATGACCTGGGGTCAGGAGCAGTGAGTCAGAGGTCAGTGACCTCGGGTCAGGTCAGCAGCGCCACCAGCAGACGGGGGATGATGACCTGGGGTCAGGAGCAGTGAGTCAGAGGTCAGTGACCTCGGGTCAGGTCAGCAGCGCCACCAGCAGACGGGGGATGGTGACCTGGGGTCAGGAGCAGTGAGTCAGAGGTCAGTGACCTCGGGTCAGGTCAGCAGCGCCACCAGCAGACGGGGGACGGTGACCTGGGGTCAGGAGCAGTGAGTCAGAGGGCAGTGACCTCGGGTCAGGTCAGCAGCGCCACCAGCAGACGGTGACCTAGGGTCAGGACGAGCACACCTTCAGCAGGCCAGCAAATTAGGTAGACAAGACAAAATACAACAAATTGCAATACAAACAAGTCATGATAAAAAAGAAAAGTTGGGCAGCAATATCACTCTTGTCTATAAAAGCTCATCAACCAAAACTACACCATAAAGAAAAAAATGGCACTTGCTACATTGCACAATTTTTCAACAGCACCAATTATTTTGAGATAGATACATACCAGCACATGTTTGTAGTCTAGTCCCAACAACTGTAAAATCTTGTAGATTGCAGCAATCATCATTGGAAAGAGGTAACTTCGAATTCCCTCTTTCCATTCCCATGTCTTATAGCCATACCTAAAACAGGGTTGAGAAAACTCATTGCCACTTACTATGTCAATGAAGGTAGGTAAGGTCATTATAGCAATATTGTTTATTGTTTATTGTTTATTTATTGGCATAGCGTCCACAGGCAAAGCCCCACTTACGGATGCAGTCGCACACTGACAATAACAACCACTCACACACACTGGATGGAAATAAATATGAGTGATAACACTGATCAAAATCCAAATAAATTAACAAGATGGCAAGAGCCTAAAAGTAAACCGACAGGCAACAGCCTAAGAATATAGAAGACAATTACCTATAATATCAATATCAATATCAATATCAATACATTATCAATATCAATTACCTATAGATGAACACTTATCAGTAATTTAGAAAGAGAGTATTTCTAGGAGCTTAGATCAGCTTAGATTATAAATCAAGGGAAATATATTATACAAGACAAATAAAGATAAAAAACACTTACCCAAAGCAGATGAAGTGAGCAATCTCTAAGGACTGCCAGTATTCATCAGCCACAAATGAAGTTTGAACAACAATGACAGACACAAGTCTTACAAAGAGCAGGAGTAATTGCCACTTCCTCATGTTTCCAAATTTTTGCTGAAACATACATGAAAACAAGCTTTGTTGATAAAGCAACAAATAGCTATTTCAACCTGATTAATTTGGAAAAGCATTCATTCTTATTCTTTATAATCACTTTGAATCACACAGAAGATACTCAGATTCTGCAAATGCATGTGAAAGCTCATAATATTTAATTTTTGGGTAGCTCATTAAAAAAAAACTTGTAAAATGACATTGAAACATGCTACAGCGATTGGATCCATACAAAAATTAAAATAACATCCAACCAGACAACACAACAAAATGCAGCGGCACTTGTGGAATGTGGATTTTCAGTCATCTTTGACGACAATAGTGTAGCTCTCACACCGCCATCAAACTGGTAAAACCAAGTGGTAAAACTAGTAGTTATTTAAGACATTATAAATAAGTGAATCAGAACTAGTCAGCAAAAACAATCCAAATCCTGCTCAAACTGACCCCATGTTCATTCTTAGATATACAGAAGTTGATGTCCTAATAGTGATTGATTAAGTCTTCCTGTTCTTTGAAGTAAATTTCAGTACAATCTTAGTTTGCTTAAAGTGTCAATATCTTCATATCTCTTTTAATTAGATAATTGTAATGATTGCAGGATGACAATTTTATTGATATCAATATCACGGTTCGAGTTCATGAACATCCCATTCAAGTCAGTGCTTCCAAAAATAAGGACATAGTTAAATTTTGTTGATGGTTATAAGAAACTGATTGATGGATACATAAAATGGAAAAATTATACAATTTTAAGTCAAAGCTGCAGGCGGTAGGCTGAGGCGGTAGCAAAAAGAAGGAGTCAAAAACACATTTATCAGCTCAGTTCTTCAATATGTTTAAGCATGTGTTTGGATTTTGAATGTATAATATGCATATTACCAAAGTTATTGAAGACAAGGCGTTCACCTAAACAAAATGCGAAGGCGTAAAACAGAGCAATATTATCCCAAAATTCAACTTCCCCACCATGCACCAGCCACCAACCAGCGCCCCGCACAGTGTCCGCCGCCGCGCGCCGGCCGAAATCCTCCACCGTATTTTGAATCGCTTGCGCCATATATGAATGTTTTCAATAGCCATTCAACAGCTGATATTAATTAATTTTTGTTCTCTTATGTTATGGATAAATGCCTATCTTTTGTTTTTTTTTTAGTTCAAATTTTCAAAAGTAACATGCTTTTCGAAAAACCTTTTAAAAAATTTGAGTGATCCTTGTTAATGAAATATGTTTAGTTAAAAAGAAATGTACGGTAACTTTTAAAAACGATTTTATGTTTTGCTTGAAACCTTGGATCAAGGCCATGTATGTGGCGTAAGCCGTAAACCCTTGCGTAAACCCACGGTGACTATAAATACGTAAACCCAGGGTATATTGAGTGAAGCGTAAACCCACCGTGGCGTAAGCCCTTGGATTGACCGGCTGAAGGCATTGGAAGGCATGCGATCATTATTTGTTCTGTGTCATGCATTGATAGGCCATTTCAATTTCTCGCTAACTGGTTGATTTCCAATTTTGAGGCTTCATAGTTCATACACAAATACTGAAGATCGGCATTATACGCGGAATCAACACCTCAGGAAGCATCTTGTAACCATGGTAAGTGCCTACCTAAGTTTTTGTTGAGACTTGAGAAGCCGCTAGTTTTAACATCAATGATCAATACTTTTTAATTCCATTCATTTGATATTTTCATCCTGAATAGATTCTACACTTTAACACTCAGTGCTCACGCAGTGTCAGTATTTTTATCGAACATCTTGATCTGAGTTTTGGCAGTGATTCTTGCGTTTAGAATCAGTGATTGGAACTATCCCAGTAAACATGCCGACGTCGGCCCGACGTCGGGGTGACGTCGGCATCTCGGCATCGGCATGCCGACGTCGGCCCGACCTCGGCACGACGTCGGCTGGATGTCGGGTATGTAGGTACGCCCGCCCCGCATGTACCGACGTTCAGCCGAGGTCCAGCCGACGTCGGACCGAGATCAATTGCTGAGGTCCAGCCGACGTTGGACCGACATCAGCCGCTGTTTTGACCGTTAAAATAATATAAAATGCATGTTTCATGTTTCAAGAGCTTCTGTTTTCAAAATATCCTCAGGAAAGTCAAATGCCTCCACGCCGCAACCCCAGTGGCGCAGCCAGAACTCTGGCGACGGGGGTGAGAGACGTTCGCGATGGGCCCCCCAGCAAAGTGGGCCCCCCTCAACCAAATGGGGGCCCCTTACCAACAACGAAAGGACAGATCATTGTCCTGATAATAACCAGCCAAATCGGGGAAAAGGACAAATATCTCTTGATCTGAAGAGGCACGTAAAAAACAACAGCATATTTACAGAAACACGACCATTCTGCCCATATGTATTAGAATCTTGTGGCCGCCGTGCCACTGCGGCGCCGCCGCCGCCCCGTCCAGGCTCGGGATGAGTTATATGGCATTGTGCGGGACGGGGCCGGGAGGAGACGGCCGGCGGCACGCGCAGCGCAATTGTAAATTTAAGATATGTCATTTAAGGCACGTAGGCCGCCAAGCTGGCGCCTTCCGTCACCTCGTCGCTGCTGTGCAAGTTCGCACTCGTTTTGGGCGTGTTCTAGACGTTTCGTAACCTGTTGAATAAAAGGAGGGTCACGTACGACCCCCGGCCAGTCTGGGCCGGCGCGCGACGGAGGCAGCTGGCAATACAACGGCAATGTGGACATAAGGAGTCTACCACAAGCTATTTCGGCCTTGGAAGACTGCCGTGATGGGGAACGAGAAGGAGACCTGTGATGGTTCGGACGCTGCGGCTGATCTCCGCTTGATCCCGGAGTTTGACGGTGTGTCGCAGCCCGTGTGCGAGTGGCTGGACAAGGTCGAACTTGTGTGTCAGCTGCGCGGCATCAAGGGACTGCACGTCGTCGTCCCGCTGAGACTCACTGGTGGTGCGTTTGCGGTATATCAACAGCTCGGAGAAGATGAGAAGAAGAAGTACGAGGACATCAAAAGGGCCCTGACATCGGCGTTTGCTTCGGATCGGTTTGAAGCCTACGACCAATTTGAACGTAGAAGGCTGCGTCCAGGTGAGACGGTGGACGTGTTCGTCTCTGAGCTGCGCCGGCTGGCTGGCTTGTTCGGAGGTATGCCGGACGACAGCCTGGCCTGTGCCTTCGTGGCCAAACTGCCAGATTCAGCACGCCGTGCGCTCCGGGCTGGATCACGGATGGAGGACATGCCGTTTAGCCAGCTTATCGGTCGCGCTCGGGCCGTGCTAGCCGACGAGGAAACAAACACCGCGGCCGCCGCCGCTGGCACAAGGACTGGAGCACTCTCGGCCACAATGAAATGCTACTCGTGCGGGCAACCGAACCATATCGCCCGCGACTGCACGGCAGGCCGCGGACAGCGAGGCCGTGGAGGCCCCCGTGGTGGACGGAGCCTCGTGAGGTGCTACAACTGCAACCGGCAGGGGCACATCGCCTCTGCGTGTCCGGAAAACGACGCGGGAGGGGAGAGATCAGCGCCAGCCTCCTCTCCTGTCGACCAGTGAACGGGGCGCTGCCAGTCGCGCAGCTGTCGGTGGACGGAGTGAGCTGCGAAGCGCTGGTTGATACAGGATGCAGCCAGTGTGTAGCTCACGTGTCAGTTTGCCGAAGGTGGAACCGACGCCCGGTGAGCGTGATGACAGTGAGTGGAGGGCGTTATTGGTGTGAGGGGTCAGGCGTGGCACGCGTGCAGCTGCGGTCCGGTGAATCAGTGTCCGTAGATGTGCTCGTCGTAGCACGTAAGCCACTGGGGTTTGAGTTCATCCTCGGGATGAATGGTATCAGAGCACTGGGTGGCGCTACAGTGAGTTCGGATGACCGAGTCAGATTCGGAGTTGAGGCAGCGGTGTCTCATATAGCGGCGTCAGTGGCCTCACCCGGTGACCAGGTCAGCTGTGATGGTGAGAGGACTGGGGTGTCGCGTGCAGTGGCAGCGACTGCACGGGTGAGTCATGATCAGGCGAGCAGTGAGGCGGCCGCACCGGCTAATCGAGCCGACGAGAAGGACTTTGTGGTGAGCTTTGATGAGACAGAAAAGAAGTGGTCGGTGGAGTGGAAATGGTGTGGAGGAAAGGAGCCCGAGCAGCTGCACAATACAGCAGAGGAGTACGCGATTCCAACAGAAGCCCGACACGAATACGAGCGAGAACTCTCCAAGTGGGTGGCGAATCAATGGCTCGTCCCTTATGATGAGAGCGTGCACGGGAGGGTCAAAGGCACGATCCCGCTCATGGCGGTCATCCAACCGAAGAAGGACAAAGTGCGTCCCGTCATGGATTTCAGGGAGTTAAATACGCACCTGGACCCGCATACAGCTGACGCGGATGTTTGCAGTGAAAAAATCCGTGAATGGCGTCGGTGTGGACGAAACGTGTCTCTCCTAGATCTGCGAGACGCTTACCTGCAGATCCACGTGCACGCATCGCTGTGGCCGTATCAGACTGTAGTGTTCCAGGGCAGACGGTGGTGTCTGAGCAGACTTGGCTTTGGGCTCAGTCTCGCACCGATGGTGATGAGAAAGGTGCTGGAAATGGCCCTGAAACGTGACCCGAGAGTGCACACCGCTACATCACCTTACGTGGACGACATACTCGTAAATGAAAACATCGCTACTGCGTTGGAGGTGAAGGGTCATCTGGAGGCGATCGGTCTGACCTGCAAATCCCCGGAGAAGGTGTCAGAAGGTGCTCGTGTCCTGGGCATTCGAGTCTGGGGGGAGCGGCAAGGACTGTTCTGGAAGCGGGACAACCAGGATCTACAGCCGCCGCCAAAGCTGACGAGGAGAGAGGTCTTCTCGCTGTGCGGACGTCTGACAAGTCAGGTCCCGGTGTGTGGCTGGCTGCGTGTCTCCGCATCCTACCTGAAAAGACGCGCCACTGCAGCGACAGACGGCTGGGATGACGAGATCGCCGATCCAGAACTCCAGAAAATGGTCATGGAAACACTGCAGCGCGTGAAAACGGCCGATCCCGCACGAGGTCGCTGGGATGTCACCGGCGATGAGGGAGTCGTGTGGGTGGATGCCAGCTCCCTCGCCATAGGAGCCGTGCTGGAGATGGAAGGCAGCATCGTTGAGGACGCCTGCTGGCTTCGGAAAAATCCTGAGACACACGTGAACCTTGCAGAACTGGACTCTGTTGTGCGTGGCATCAATCTGTCCCTGGCATGGAACCTGAAGAAAGTGACTGTCGTGACGGACTCGAAAACGGTCTATCACTGGCTAACAGATGCGCTCTCCGGCAGAGCTCGGATAAAGACGAAGGCGGCGAGTGAAATGCTGATTAGAAGGCGCCTGGAGACCGTGAAGAGTCTGAGAGATGAGTACGGCCTCCAGCTGACCGTGAAGTGCGTTCCGTCAGTGGACAACAGGGCTGACGCACTGACGAGAGTGCCGAAGAAGTGGCTGAACCAACAAAGCGATCCTGAGGTCTGCGGCGCTGCCTTCTCGGCGCCGGATGTGGTCAGGATCCATGAAACAAGCGGACACCCAGGCATCGGGAGAACGCTGCGCCTGTGTAGGGAGCACGACCCGGCTGTGAGCAGGCACCAGGTGCGCAGTGTCGTTAGCCAGTGCGAAAGGTGCCAGTCCATCGATCCAGCGCCCCAGCGGTGGACACATGGTTCGCTGAGCGTGACTAAATGCTGGGACAGGATCAGCATGGACGTCTGTCACGTAAGCGATCAGCTGTACCTGACTCTGATTGACTGCGGTCCGTCTCGGTACGCGATCTGGCGGCGGATAAAGCGACAGGACACCGACAGCATCATCACCGCTCTGGAGTCGGTATTCCTGGAGCGCGGCGCTCCGAGGGAGCTGCTGACGGACAACTTCACCTCATTCCGCAGTGCCGCATTCCACGAGTTCGTCAGCCGGTGGGGTATCAGCGTCCGGTACCGAGCTGCCCATGCGCCGTTCGGCAATGGTGTCTCTGAGAGAAACCATAGGTCGGTCAAAACAATCGTAGCGCGCAAAGGCTGCTCAGTGGCGGAAGCAGTCTACCGCTATAATGTGATGCCGCGCAGTGATGACCTGAACTCTAGTCCTGCCAACGTACTGTTCAACTACAAACTGAGAGTGCCGGACGTGGAGGGTGAGGAAAAGTGCGAAGAAAGTGAGTGTGCTATGTTCAATGTAGGCGATAAGGTATGGATCAGAGACCCTAGTCGCCGGTGTGATGTGCCAAGTTCCATAGGAACAGTCACCCGACAAGTGTCGGCGCAGTGTGTGGAAGTAGACAATGTCCCCCGTCACGTGAGAGATCTGAGACTGGCTTTCGTTCCCAGTCCGGAGAGTGGCCAGACTGAGCCACCGAACAATGACAGTGACGACTCTGGCCCAATTATCTTGCGAGAGTGTGCGCACGAAAGCCACGGGGAAAATGTGCCCCCTGTGACGTACGCTGAAGTTCTACGCCGCGGCATGCGGGAGAGACGCCCTGCCGTTCTGACCCAGTACGATGATTTGTAGATCAGGGGGGAGTGTATTAGAATCTTGTGGCCGCCGTGCCACTGCGGCGCCGCCGCCGCCCCGTCCAGGCTCGGGATGAGTTATATGGCATTGTGCGGGACGGGGCC